CAGGCAGTCCAGCTGCCGCTTCGCCGCGTGCCTCGCACCGCACCGCCGTCAGGCCACCGCCGCCAGCTGGCTGGATCCTCTCGCCTCCGCCTCGCGTGTCCGACTGACGCGAGGCACGCGCAGGTCCCCTCTCCCGCTGCTCGCCACCCTCCAGCAGGCGCCTCAGCTCTGCGAGAGGCAGAGGGGCCTCTCGCGCGGCTCTCCTTTGCCGAGGCCTCTCGCCTCGCTGCACAGCTGCCTTCTCCCTCTCGACCTCCAGCATGGCCCTCGCCCTCGCTGCCTCTGCCTCGGCGACGTCGAGGTCCTCCGCCTGCGTGGCGTACTGCACGGTGTCGTGCTGGGGCTGCACGCTGGTGTTGGCCAGCCTCGCTGCGGTCTGCAGTAGACGCTGCGCCTCCTGCTGCTGCTCCTCATCGGTGCGTGCCCTCCTCACCTGCTCGTCCGATCGTGCCAACGCTGGACCCGCGGGCAGCTCGGGGAACGCCGCTGGCGGCTCGAGGAGCACCGCCTCTGGATTTGCGTTCTGACCCTGAGCGAAGCCCTGGCCATGGGACGGGCTGCAGTGGCGACGAGCACCAGCGGCCGGCTCGAGGAGCACCGACATGGATTTAGCGCTCTGACACCTCAGCTCGCCGTCCGCGCAGATCACGACTGGTGGCTGCGTCTCTGGCGGCGGTGAGCCCGCTGACGGCTCGAGGAGCACCGCCGCTGGACTTGCGATCTGACCCCTCAGCTCGCCGTCCGCGTAGGTCTCGTGTGGTGTTGCCCGCTGTCCTGCTCCGCCCTCCTTGGCGGCCTGCCTCAGCCAGCCCTCGAGCCTGTAGTGTCCACTGCTGCAGGCTGTGTGACCGCAGCAGGGCTCCTGCAGCTTCGCGGCGATCAGCTCCGTCGTCGCTCCTCCGCACCGCTCGCAGAACCAGCGGTCTTGGTCGAGCAACCTCCTCAGCAGGTGTGACGGGTGCGACTCCACTCCGTACCTCGTGATGGTGATGGCTCTCAGCGGAGGTGGCCCCCCGCACGGCTTCTCCATCCAGTCGCGGATGGTCGCTGTCGCCGTGCTGCAGCTGACCGCCTCCCTGCAATGCTGACACCTCCATCCTGTGCCTCGCTTGTCACGCTCCAGGATGTGCGACGTCGGTGGTCTCCTGGTCGCCTCGCCGCCGAGCAGGTCGCGCTTCAAGAGGCGGTCCTGACGCCTCTGCTGCGCGAGCCTCTTTCTTGCCGTTCTCATTTCCTTGTCGTCGGGCGGCCTTCTGGCGAGCACTGCAGCGGTGGTGGCCGCGATGCACCTGAGGGGCTATCCTGGGTCATCGCAGAGGCCACTTTTGGCTGCGAGACCCTGCTGGCGCGTCGAGGGCACCATTGGCGGACGGCTTCGGGCCCCAGGACCCTCGCTGATCGATCGTCGCTGCCGGCGCCGCCGACGTCAATGTCGTCGTCGTTGTCGTCGCCGCCGCCGCCGCTGCTGCCGCCATCATCGTGGTCGTCGTCGCCGTCGTCGCCGTCGACATCTTCGTCGTCTCGTTGTCGTCGTCGTCGTCGTCGTCGTCGTCGTCGCCGTCGTCGTCGTCGCCGTCGTCGTCGTCGTCGTCGTCGTCGTCGTCGTCGTCGTCGTCGTCGTCGTCGTCGTCGTCGTCGTCGTCGTCGTCGTCGTCGTCGTCGTCGTCGTCGTCGTCGTCGTCGTCGTCGTCGTCGTCGTCGTCGTCGTCGTCGTCGTCGTCGTCGTCGTCGTCGTCGTCGTCGTCGTCGTCGTCGTCGTCAATAGTCGTCCACGCCGTCGTCGGTCGTCGTGTCAGTCGTCGCACTGAGCACAGCACCTGTGAGCAGCAGGCCGCTGCAGAGGCTCTGTGAGCTGCGGCACACAGAGCACGCTGCGCAACACGCACAATGTTTCCTCCTCAAGCCTCTACGGCCGCGCACACTTGCAACGCTCCGCCGCCCCGCGCCTCCTCCTCCTCCTCCTCCATTTCCTCCTCCTCCTCCTCCTACTCCTCCTCCTCCTCCTCCTCCTCCTCCTCCTTCTCCTCCTCCTCCTCCTCTCAAGGCGGCGTCTATACACCAGCACGACCCTGCCCAGGCCGACCCTGGGCTCAGAACTCGAGCTCACGCCTCCGTGCCCAACCGGGCGCAACGCCACCAACCCCTCGCAAACCATGCCCATTCCGTGACGTCACCCTCGCCGTTCAGGCTTCCCCCCGGAAGCATACATTGCGTCTTGGGGCGCGGCGAGGAGGACGTCCCGGAAGGGGATTGTATGCCAGGGGTCGGTTAGGCCGCCACGGATCATTGAGGATAGAAACCCCTAACCCTGATAGTACGATGAAGACGTAGCCTCACTGACGTCCCCGTCTTCGCATTAGGGACGACAATTCTGGGCAGTTTGGCCCGATACACCTGCAGAAAAGACTCCATCCCCCCGATGTTCCTGGCCCTCCAAAAAACTTAGGTCCCCTCTCAAAGGATTAGGGGTCCTTCTTTGGTCAATGACCTAACCCTGGGCCCTGGGCTTAGGCCGGGCATGTCCCCCCACAGGCGGATTTCGGGCGAAACATTAAACATAGTCAACAAGAAGCAACAATTGTCAACACATACCCCAAACATCGGCCCCAGACCCAGACTATGGTTCTACTACTCTTGAACCTTCCCCCTGTAGAGGCACAGGCCCGACTGAAGGTCAGGGGTCGATGACCTGACCCTGGGCTTAAGTCGGGCGTGTCCCCCTACAAGGGGATTTTCGACGGGGAGAAATACTCCAATTTTTGGAATATTGTTTGACCTTCTTTTGGAGTATTTTTGGGGTACTTTTTATTCTTCGTCGAAAAAAACCCTGTAGGGGGACACGCGCCCGACTCAAGCCCTGGGCCCCGGGCCGCCCCCGCGGCGCGCAGACCGGCGCCCGCTCGCAACGGCCGCCGCGCGCGCCGCCGGTGCAGCGCCGGCGCCCACGGGCGCCCGCGGGGCGCGGGTCTGCGAGGCGGCTCGCCTCCCGCGAGCGCCCCCCGCGTGGTGCCCCGCGTGGTGCCCCGCACGGTGCCCCGCGCGCCGCCGAGCTACTCGTCGTAGGAGGCACCCTCGGTCCACTCGGCGTCGAAGGCGAGGTCGCTGGCCTGGATCTGGTCGGGGCCCTCCGCGAGCACTCGCTCGGGCTGGCAACCCGCGGCCGCGGCCGCCGCCGCGGAGTTTGGCAGAGGTGGCAGGGGTTAGGGAGTTCTGGTGGCAGAGGCCTCTCGCACAGACGCGGTCCAGAGATAGCCGACCGTTTCCCCGTCGGTCTGGGTCAGGGGCTGCGGCCCGCAGGCCCGAGGGATCCTAAGAGGTAGGCCAGAAACCAAATGTGGAATCGCCGTGCGAGGTCGTTGTCGTCGTCGTGATCGTCGTCGTCGTCGTCGTCGTCGTCGTCGTCGTCGTCGTCGTCAACGTCATCGTCGTGCGTCCGACCCCCCCCCGAGTTCTGTCCAGGCAGCTCCTGCGCCGAATGGAAGCCCTGCCTGCTTCGCAATCAGAAGGGGGCCAGCAAATAGACGACGCCACCCCACCTACGGCCCCACGGGGATTTACACCAAGAGATCTGGCGTGGGCTTTTTGCATGGTATACGCTACGGCCCCTGACGGGCCGTAGCGCAACATGGAGGGCCGTAGGTGGGGTGGTGTCGTTTGTTCTTTGGTCGAAGAATGTCCTCGACCTGCTGGCCGTGCGCTCGCGACGGCTCCCTGCCGCACTGCCCCCATGAGGACTTCTGCGCCTACGGTCGGCTGACAAGGTTCGCTCAGTATGTCCCAGTGTGCGGTCGGATCATCGGGCCTCCTGACACTATCCTTTTCTGTGGTCAGACGGACGGGGCCCCCATGGATTGTGTTCTGCTCGAGCGAGGTCCCACGATATAAGGTCCTTCCCACCCGACCAGGTGCCACCCGATGGGGCCCCACGCGACAAGAGCCCACGCGATAGGAACCACACGGCCAGGGTCCCGCCTGGCGGGGCTCCACCCGACAGACTGCAGCCCACAAGCTGCACAGAGCCAATGCCCGGGGGCCCACGCGTCAGTGCCCCTGCCTCTGCTGTCTTTTTGCCCGCCCCTCTGCAAAACGAGAATGAGGACCCCACTCAGCACATCGAGGCCAACGCACGCCTAGTCGAAAGTTCCAACTCCGCGGGCTCTTTCTGATGGGTCTGAGCGACATGTGCGGCAATTCAGGCGCGCCGTCCTGCAAGTTCGTGCAGGGACCACCCCGGCGTTGGTTTAGGACGCCGCGTGTATCGTTCGTTCAACCTTCGAACGAGCTCCCCCGTTGCCATTCTGGGAGACACGCGCGGCAACGCAAATTGATAGATCTGCCAACAATTCGATGAACTCCCGAAGTCAAACGGGTTCACCTTGTAGTATTCCTTTACATGTTCGTTGGTCGTCAAGTTCTGCATCGTGATCACCGTGTGATAGATGGACAAGAGCAGCACGGCGACGAGCAGGAACAAACAGTATATCACGAAGCCAACAAGCTCGGGAGTTTCGCAAACAACCCAAAGCCAAGTCGCCACGGTGGGCTCCTCATGGGTCAGGGGACAGAACGTTGGCCCGTGTTTGAAGGCAGCATAAGAGAGAGAGAGAGAGAGAGAGACAGTCAGAGAGAGAGGGGGGGAAAAAGGGTGAGAAAAAGAGGGAGGGAGAGGGGGAAAGAGAGAGAAAGAGGGAAACAAAGAAAGCAAAAGAGATATGAGTCCTGAGCGAAGCATTCAACGTTTCGCCTGACGGCCCCCACAATCTGGGCGCGAACGGACCCTCATCCCCGCTCCTGGCGGCTTCCCCTTGGGATGCCCGGTTGCCGTGCCTGCCACATCGCGGTGGTCATGCGAGAGATGCGGGGGAGACAGTGGGCGATGAGGGAGAGACGAGGGAGAAGGAAACTCAAAACGCAGGCCCATTATATGCCCCAAGCCCGCTCCTGATACCCATCATTGTTCTTCGTTCTCCAAATGCCGAACACGATGTAGACGCACTCCATCAAGAAGATCGTAGCACTGTATCCGCCACCGTGCCGTTGGCATTTACTCATTGGATTGTCGCAATGTTCCTTCGAGTTCTGTTTACTTCAGAAGGGGCCATGAGCCCGAGTTCCCAGGGTTTGCCAGGCGCTCTTGAGAATCACCGCGTGATTCCAGAGGTTTTGGGAACGCCGACAACTTGGGGCACGACACCCGGACCCAAACGTTGTCAAACTCCGCAAATGTTCGTACAATTTCCCACGTGCACCCTTGCCATCTTGCTGCCAAGACGGCTCAAGAGGTGCTTCCAGGATCGACGAAGCACGGCCGAAGAGCATCCAAGAGATGCCCAAGAGGCCCAACAAGTAAACCCGAAATGACATTTGTAGCCCCGACCTGAAATGCCCCAAAGAGCGCCCAAGAAGCCACCGATACGCTCCACAGGAGGCATCCGAGAGGAGGGCCTCCAAAAGGTTTCCGAAACCCCGAGACGCCTTCACGAGGTCCCCAGTCAACGACCCAGACACAGTGGCGGGATGGACCGAAGGCCACTGGATAGCAAGAGAAGGAAGCTGCGGTAATTGTACAGCCCAACGCAGTTTCCCAGCCACGTGCAGTGGTGGTCGAAGCGCAGCACGCAGTTGTCGCAGAAGGCGCAGTGCTTCGCCCGGGGGGGGCGGTAGACCATGCAGGTCGTGCAGAACTTCTGCCTCACGGTGACGTCGTGGATCAACAAGAACCGCTGGTTCGGCATGCCGGTCCTCGGATCCAGCGGGACCCCGTCCGGGATCCGCTCGCTCCTGGGCACGATCCCCGGATTCATGAAGGCCGCGAGGGTGAACGAGACCACGATCAGCACAGAGAGCAGGGCCTGGGTGCCCCGTATGGCCCCGCAGTCCCCCGCCAGGGGCAGGACCCTGCTCCAGTAGTAGATGCCCGGGAGCAGCGTGAAGAGGGCCGTGTTGACGGTCCGGGCGCTGCCAGAAGGGATCCTCGCCCGAGGTGCGCCCATTTCGCGCACTGGCTGGAGCCTCCGGGCCCTCTGGGCCCCGCGCCTCTCTGCGGAAGCCGGGGCCAGCTTCCCAGACATCCGATGCCTGGAGCCTCCCGATTCCCAGATGTCCGGCCGCTCCCTCTTTTCCAGAGCGCCAGATCTCCGGGATTCGGGGTCCGTCTGGACCTCTTTCCCAGGGCGGGCTTTTCATGCCGAGCCGCATCTGCTGACGGCCCTGGGGCCCGGCGCGGGAGGAGGAGCAGGAGCAGGAGCAGGAGCAGGAGCAGGAGGAGGAGCAGGAGCAGGAGCAGGAGGAGGAGGAGGAGGAGGAGGACAGGTCTGCGACCAAGTTCACCATGAGAGTGAGTGAGAGGAGGAGCAGGAGCAGGAGGAGAATGGGGAAGGGAGGAAGATGGAGGAGGAGGGAGGAGGAGGAGGAGGAGGAGGAGGAGGAGGAGGAGGATGAGGAGAAAGAGGAGCATTTGTATTGCAAATGTATTGCGCCGGAGAATTGTATTGCACTGTATTGCAAAAAATGTACTGCACGCGAAAACCCAGCAATACATCACCCCGAGATGCAATGCACGCCCCGGATGTATTGCAGGCCCACGAATCTGTTGCACCACATCTATACTGCACTATACCCCCTTTCAGCTGGACCCCCCTTTTGGGTCAACCCGAAGACTGCACCGCCTCCCACTCCGCCTCCTCCGCCTCCTCCTCCCCCTCCTCCCCCTCCTCCTCCTCCTCGTCCTCCTCCTCCTCCTCCTCCTCCTCCTCCTCCTCCTCCTCCTCCTCCTCCAAGGGGCGGGCCTTCTCAGAAGGCTCGGAAGTTCCCGGGCCTGAACTTCTGAGAAGTGTTCCAAGCCTCCCCCGAAGACGCAACAGACACTTCTGCAGAAGGCGCGAGGGCTTCTGGAAGTGCATCCCCCCCTTCCCCCCTTCCCCCTGTACCCGGGAGGAGGAGGAGGAGGAGGAGCAGCCGGAGCAGGAGGGGGGGGGAGGAGGAGGAGGAGGAGGAGGAGGAGGAGGAGGAGGAGAGGAGGAGGAGGAGGAGGAGGAGGAGGATGAGAGGAGGAGGAGGAGGGAGGAGGAGGAGGAGGAGGAGGGGGGACGCCGCTGGCAACGCCCGCATGGTGTTGGGCCACAGCTGGCCCGCGGCCAGCCGGCCGCCGGCGCAGACCGTGCTGCCGCCGCGGAAGTCCCCGGTGAGGTAGGCGCCGAAGCGCGGCTCGGGCGCGCACCTCGGCAGGAGCGGGCTCCACGTCGCGAGCGTCTTCTCCGGGGCCTGGCCTGGGGCGCAGGAGGACGTGCCCTTGCCGTCGCTCGGACGTCCATTCCCCGTGCTTTTTTGTTTCGGTTTTGCGCGTGCGTTTTTCGCCAAATTGATCAAGGATGCTCCTCGATGGTCCTCCCCGTGTTTTTTGTCGGTTTTGCGCGTGTTTTTCGCCAAATGATCAAGGATGCTCCTCGATGGTCCTCGCCGAGAGAAAAATGTACACGTCCGAGCGATGCCAAGAGGAGGACGTGCCAGTGTCGGGGGCGCGCAAACCTGGATTGGCGATCCACGGAGCTGGCGCGCGGTCGCCAGCTCCATGCATCGGGGGAGGTGCCCTCCCCAAAAGGCGGCCGGTGCCGCCTCGTGCGGCGGCGGGAAGTCGCGATTTCCCATGGAAGCGGGACCCTTCGCTAATCCACGCCCCCTTGATCCATGCTTGCGATCGCCTGACAGTACTGTGCGTCCTCCGTGGAGGCGCGAGTCCGAGCAGATCCTACGGTGCAGTCTTACAGTACATCGTTAGCCCAGCGGTGCGGCCAGAGAGCGCCCGCCATCGAGCATGCACTAGAAGATTTCTAAGCGCGCTCGTCGCCCCCCAGGGGGGCGACGCACATGTCCATCGACACAGCACGGACAACATGCGGTCAGAACCTCATCGAAGACACACCCTGGGGGATGTCGTCGAAGGGGCCCGGGGACACAAATAAATGCATACAAATCCTAGGATTACCAATATTTTTGGGGGGGATTTTCGTCACCTCCCCGACTTCCCATATTTTCCTCGATTTCCTAGGGGATCGACACTTAATCGTGTCTGTGTTTTTTTCCCTCCTGAGTCTTGTGCCTGCCAGCAACCGTCAGAACACCGAGACCAATTCGGTCCTGGCTCTGGTCGACGAGATGTCCCAGGTCGGCCAAAGCGACCACAACCGCACCCTCAACGCTCGTGCCGAGGTCGGCGGGTTCTCCCCCGAGGGACCCGCCAGAAACATCCGCTTACGTAGCTGGTGCGTGAGTGTGGCTGTGCTTCTCTGTCCTAAAAGGAGAACAAAGCGGCACAAGCACAGAACTGTTGGAGGGTCCGTGCGGATTTCTAGGATCTGCGCTGAAGCCCCCTCCCTGGCGTGCGAAGCGCGCCAGGGAGGGGGCGCCGCCAGGGAGGCCCAAACGCCGATCCAAGGAATCCTCGCGGAGCTCCAAGACTTTATGCCAGGGGGGCGTAAAGGTGGGGTAGGGGCAGAGGCGGGGTTAGAGGAAGGTCGCTCCACATGACCCCGAGAAGAAGGAAAGAAGGAAACACAAGCATCCAGGTTGGTGCGCTCCCTGCTCCCACCTGAGGACCCCCCCCTCTGCGAAACGCCGGTCATGTTTATGCAGTTATATCTTCTTCTATTTGTTGCGCCCGGATGGCCGCGGGCCCCGTCGAGCCGCAGGAGCGGCTCGGCGTAGTCGAGGTACCTCGACATGGCGCGCGCGATGGCGCGCCCGAAGACACCCCTCTCCCGGGCCCGCGGGGCCACCGCCGGCTCGGGCCAAAAAATGGCTGGGCCCGACGAAAAGCAATAAGTTTACCCCTGATCCGTTGGGAGGGGAGCTGAGTTAGGAGGGCCAAGGAGATCAGGGGTAGGGGGTGCTTTGTGAAAGTGTGTCATGAGTACTGTTTAACCGATTCCCATCCCCAGCGGCGTGGCCTGGGCCCCACTGGCCGATTTACCCCCCTAGATGGGGATATAGGTCGTTCCCTTCGGGTTTCGAGGGGTGCATCCCCAACTGGGGTGATAATTTGGTGGGGGTCTCGAAGGGGATGGGGATGGGGATGGGGATCGATTAAACGATCCCGTTGTCGCGATGACGAAACTGCCCGTACTATGTTTAGGTATACCCCTAAAAACCGTGGACCTAAAATTGGCCACGAATTCATTGTGTCAATAATGTTAGACGTTATACTATGCTTCATGGCCCGAATTTCCCGGCAAAGGCAAGATCAGTCAGCATCGAACCGGGAACTCGGATCGGATGGGAACGTGTGTCGAATCGGACCGCATCGGCTCGGAGTCGGAATCGGATCGGACCGGCGGCGCCAAGATGCATAACAGCATCATGTAAGCAGCGGGCCGCATCGGATTGCTCGAACATCGGAATCGAATCGAACCAGGCTGGCCAGAGCCAATATCGAATCGGATCGATCGGATCAATCTGGACCCTGCTAAAGCAGGGTTGGTAGAGACCTCTCAAATGGGGCCGGGTGCCGCGAATTCGTGTCGAGTCGACCCTGGCGTTGGTTCCTGACATCGAGGGGATTGCTCAACCTTGAACGATCGGCCGTCAGCTCAACATCGACCGATTCTGGGTCGCCAGCGGCGTTCAACGTTGAACGCCGGCGGCGGGATCGCCGACGGTCAACACGACGCGAACCAACCGTAGTTAGATAGGGAGCCCACAAAGGACGCACGCGCCCAGCTATGTACATGAACACGGCCTCTCGATCCGCGAGACCGGCCGCGTTATTTGAACATTTGCGCAATGCGTACTCTCGAAACCAACGTGGATTCATGTACGTGTACGTCCTTCTGTCGCTCCTGATTAGATGGGGTCAGAGAATCGCGCCGCATCGGCCATGCATCGCCGAGGCATCGACGGTACATCGGCGACGTCTGCGATGCATCGGCGACGCCAGCGCGGAGAGAGTCGGGCTCCAGGCTCCACGTCGATTGCATCGCTGATGCATCGGCGATGCGGCGCGATCCCCCGAACCGATCTACTCGACCCAATCTGCGAGGCCATCGCCTCCAATGTGTATTAAGAAATCAGGAGGGGGGGTTTTCGTCGTTCTCGGCCTCGCCGTCGCCGGGGGGCCCCGGGACCGTCGAGGAACGGCTCAGGATGACAAGCCGGTCCCTGGGAGGGTGTCGGGACTTCTGGGAGCCTCGCAGTGAAATTGTCCTGGGGGAGCGGCTCAGGATCGGCGAGGTGGACGGGTGGTGTCCCTCCGAGAGGGGGGCCGGCAGCCGTGCAAGCGCGAGGTCTGGACGTCGGGCGTGGACTGGGCGGTCTCCGTGGCCCTCCCTTGGGGGAGAAGCGGCGGGGCGGGGCGCAGGGGAGTGCATCGCTTGGGGGGGGCCCTCGTGATGCGCGCGCGCGCGGGGGGGCGTCGTAAGAGGCCGCGGGGCGCCGTGGGGTGCGCTGTGGTGCAGACGCCAAGGGGGCAGTTTCGCCCGAGCGGCCCCGCGGTCGGGCGCAAGCGAGCGCGTGTAAGGCCCCGTGGCGCCTCCGCAAACGAGCGCGTGTCACACCCTCAGGCGGTCCCGGGAGACCCAGGGGCCTGCCTGCCACGTCGCCGTGATCATGAGGTTGTCAGAAGACTCGCAGTCGCTCGGACGTCCATTCCCTGTGTTTTTTTTCGGTTTCGTGCGTGGATTTTTCGCCAAATGATCAAGGATGCTCCTCGATGGCCCTCGCCGAAGGAAAAATGCATACGTCCGAGCGATGCCAAGCAGAAGAGAGTCTGGTCTGGGCGTCAGGAGCCAGCGTTTCGCCTGAGCGATCCCAACACTCTGGGCGCGAGCGTGCCCATGTCACACCCCTCGTCCGCTCAATCTTGCACGCCCAGATGCAAGGCCTGCTACATCGCGGCGATCGTAGGCTCTCAAGGGAGAGAGAGGGATAGAGAGAGAGAAAGGGAGAGAGAGAGAGAGAGAGAAAGAGAGAGAGAGAGAGCACACAAAACGACAGAAAGAGAGAGAGAGAGAGAGAAATGAAGAAAGAAAGAAGAAAGAGAGAAAGAGAGAGAGAGAGAGAGGGAGTCGCGGGCGCCAAATGCAAGCTTTCGCCTGCGAGTTCCCAACAATATGGGCGCCAACGGGCCCGTCTGGCGCCTCCCCATGGGGATGTGTAAGTGCCATGCCTGCTCTGAGGAAGGAATCGGGGGCACCAGAACCAGCGTGTCGCCTGAGAGGCCCCGCAATCTGGGCGCCACAGGGCCCGTGTAACACCCCCTGGCGTCCCCCCCTGAGGATGTCCAGGTGATACTCCCGCTTCATCGCGGCGATCATGGGGGAAGAGTCGGGCAAGCCAAATGCAGCGTTTCGCCTGGGGCGTCCTTCGATCTGGGGGCGAGCGGGACGGGTAACACCCTCTAGCGGCTCACCTGGGATGCCCGAGTAGCACCCCTGCCACATCGCGGTGAAGCCCGACACTCACTGTATGGAAAAGACTCAATCCATTGTTACGGTCGAGGCGATTGTACCATTTCCACGTGATAGCAAGGCGAGGGTTCCGTAGTGCTCAAGACTCGCATTGGCCAATGTCCATGTCGGCCATTTATCTTAAGATCTCAATTGTAGCCGTTCCACGCCAACGTCGAACTGGCGTCAACTTTCCTCGAGTCGAAACATGGCTGCCTATGCCTAGGATGTGGATGAGGCGGCAACGGCACCGCCGCCACCGCCACCGCGGCCGCCGCCGCTGCCGCCGCTGCCGCCGCCGCGGCCGCCGCCGCCGCCGCCGCTGCCGCCGCCGCCGCCGCCGCCGCCGCCGCCGTCGTCGTCGTCGTCGTCGTCGTCGTCGTCGTCGTCGTCGTCGTCGTCGTCGTCGTCGCCGTCTCGCGCCAGCGCGGCGGCCCTCGCGGGCGGGTGGCGGCGGGGCCCTCGCGGGCGGGCGGACCCCGCGCCTCGCTCCCCGCCGCGCTGTTGGCGCCCTGGGAGCGGGGCGTGGCCGTGCCGCTCGTGGGCGTCTCGTGCGCCTGCGCCGAGTGGCCTGCCGAGGCCGCGGGGGCGCCCGAGGGCTGTGCGGGGACCGGCCGTCCCGGCATCCCCCGAAGCGTCATCGTGGTGCCATGGAGGAGCACCTCAGCAGAGCCAAGGCAACATCACTGACACGCCGCCGCGGGGAATCTGTCATCGTGCCTCTGTCGAGGAGCCACCGTGCGTCCGACCACAGCGTTCGAGTAGAGCGTCGACTACAGAATTGATTCACCCCCAAATCGATCTCCCCCATTGGAACTACGACGAATACGTGGAATGCTCGTGCATCTCCTGAAGACTCTGAGTATTTTTCCGTAGATTCGACGAGACAATTAATTTTACCAGCCTCGAACTTACCCCTCTCCCTAAGATTGACACGCCAAAAGGCGATGACAATCTTAGGGATTCGCCATCAAAAAAGAAAGGGAATCCCTGAGATTGGCATCGTGATGAGGAGATGCCCAGCATAGGGATAGGGATAGGTTCCAGGCTGGTAAAAATTATGGGGGGCATCTCTGACGGGCTCCCCACGGCGGCGTGTTGTTGATGCTCTTTTCAGGCGGCGAGCGAGAGGGGGAGTATGGCACCCCCTCCTCCTCCTCCTCCTCCTCCTCCTCCTCCTCCTCCTCCCTCCTCCTCCTCCTCCTCCTCCTCCTCCTCCCCCTCCTCCTCCTCCTCCTCCTCCTCCTCCTTCCTCCCCCTCCTCCCTCGCCGCCTCCTCCTCCTCCTACCCCTCCTCCTTCTCCTCCTCCTCCTCCTCCGAGGGGCGGGCCTTCTCAGAAGGCTCGGAAGTCCCCGGGCCTTCTGAGAAGTGTTCCAAGCCTCCCCCGAAGACGCAACAGACACTTCCCAGAGGGCGCGAGGGCTTCTGGGAAGTGCCGCCGCCTTCTGAGCAGGCCTTCTCCTCCTCACCTCCCCCCCCTCCCCCCTCGCTCGCCCACTTTTGCCCTCCCGAGCACTGACCGGGGGACCAGAGAGGGCTTGTGCGGCCACGGCGGGCCTCAGCCACGGCCATGAACAGGTTCCCCGACCTCGACCTAAGCTTGGGTCGAGCGTGTCCCCCTGCAGGCGGACCTTGGACGAAAAATATAAAAAGACAAAACGCAAAAAAATACCCCCAAGTAGCAACAAAATGCCAAAACAAAATCGTCCCCGGACGATTTGTTGACTATGTTTGGTTATTCCTCCTGTATCGGGAGCGGCCAAGAGGGGGGTGTTCAAGAGGGGGGGGGGGCAAATCATGACCGGCGGCATGTGCGCGGCCCAGCGGGGGGGCCAGGGACGTAAGGGAATAAGAAGAGGCGCCATGAGATCTGGGGAAATATCATGGCCCACGCCATGATATCCCCCCCCCTAGTCATCACCCCCCTCTTTGCCGCCCCCGGCTGTAGAGGGACAGGCCCGACTTAAGGCTCAAAAGCCAACGAATCGACACCGGATAAAAACCAACTTCTGGCGTTCCGTCCCGGGGTCCAGGGGGTCTGGGAGGGCCTGCGGGAAGGCCGCCCACAGGCCAACAAAGGAAAAACTACTCGACACCGGATCTCGCCATCGCTCGGACGTCCATTCCCTGTGTTTTTTTCGGTTTCGTGCGTGGTTTTTTTCGCCAAATGATCCAGGATGCTCCTCGATGGCCCTCGCCGAAGGAAAAATGCACACGTCCGAGCGATGCCAAGGGATGGAGGTGAACTTCCGACGTTCCTTCCCCGAGTACAGGGAGGCCCGGGGGACACTCGGGATTCGAGCCACAGGAGAAGGAACAGTCTGTAGGCACGTACGTAAAACACGCAGGGCTCGCGCCACAGGAGAGGGGGGGAATCTGTAGGCGCAGATGTGCACACACAGCATGCGAGCCGCAGGAGAAGTGCAGTGCACAAAAACACAATCCTAACAACAAACACATGGGGTTCGAGCTACAGGCGAAGGGCGACCTGTAGCCACATAGGTGAACACACACATACACACACAGGATTCGAGCCACAGGAGAGGGGCCATCGACAGGCACAGACGCAAGACACACAGGGTTCGAGCCACACATACGTGAAACACATAGGATTCGAGCCCCAGGAAAGGAGCAATCTATAGGCGACGCTTGCGAAACACATCGGATCCGAGCCACAGGAGAGGGGCGCAATACATATATATATATATATATATACATATATATATATATGTATAAATGTATATGTATATATATAAATATAAATATGGATAGATAAGCGCATGTGTAAAACACGGAGGGCTCGAGGCACAAGAGAGGGGCAAGCAGGCGCATACGTAAAACACATAGAACTCGAGCCACAGGGGGGGGAGGGGGGGGGGGGGGGGGGCAATCTACAGGCACACGCATAGGATTCGAACCTCAGGAGCGGGACAATCGCTAGGTACACGTAAAACACGCGGGATTCGATCCCCAGTGCAGGTGCAAACTATAGGCACATACGCAAAACACGCATGATTCGAGCCCTAGGGCAGGGGTAAGCCATAGGAAAATGTGTAAAACCCATGGGCTTGGAGGCAATATATAGGACCATGTGTAAAATACATAGAATTCGAGCCCCAGGAATGGGGCAACATGTATGAGCATATGTACAACAACTCGGATTGGAGCCCCAGGAGGAGGGGCAATCGATAGGCGCACACGTAAAACATGTAGGATTCGAACCACAGGAGAAGACTTCAGGACAAATCGAGCCCTCGAGCCCGACGAAAGGGGCAAGTTATAGGAACATGCGCAAAACACATAGAAGGCGAGCCACAGAAGAGGGGCAACGTACAGGAACATACATGAAGTACACGGGTTCGGAGACCCAGGAAAGGGACAATCTATAGGAACACACAGCAAACACATAGGGCTGACATCGAGCCGGAACACTATAGCGAGCACCACTTCCGAATCACATCAAGCCAGAACACCACAGTGAGTCTCATTTCTGGATCTGGGAGGGCCGAAATCGAGCCAGAACACAGTGGCTAGCCTCATTTCTGGACGAAATCGAACTGGGACACCAGAGCGCGCCTCATTCTACACCAGATCCAACCAAAACGCTGTAGGGAGCCTCCTCCCCGGCAGCGCCCCTGGCAGCCCGCCGGGCCTGAGAGACGCCTCCCCCTGCCACCCCCCGAGGAGATTCTCTTGTGAGAGGAAACCTCTGAACTGAAGGGGCCCTGGGACACGCAAACAAATACACACAAATGAAAATACTTTGTATTTTCCCATGTGTTCGGGGCTTCTGTCTTCCCCCCGCACTTCCCATATTTTCCCATATTTTCTGGGAATCGACGATCAATTGTGTCTGTGTGGTTCTTCCCCCTCTGATGAACACAATGACAAAGCCCTCTGGCGAAACGCTACTCGGGGAGAAACGTGGGGCTCTATCAGTCCTGCCGTCGACCCCCTGCTCCATACCTGGGGGAGGGCTGTCCCTGCGAGGCCCGAACCTCTCCCAAACGAGACCGAGGAGATCGGGAATCCACTGACCCAGGTCAATCCAAACCCGGGTCATTCGGGCTTTGCAGGATCCTGCAAGATCCTGCGGGATCCTGCAGGACCCTGCTGGATCCTGCACCCAAGCCTTGGTCACTGCGACCCTGGCCCCGCAGGATTTTGCAAGCTCTGGCGCTCTGGCTGACACCCGTCTGCATTGATAAAGTCAAAATCCACCCCCATAAGAACCACCCCGACACGCGAAGCCGCTCAATTAAACGCGCCCAAAGAAGGAATCAAACAGGGCAGGGCTGTTTAGTAAACGCCCAGGGCCGTTTCGTAACCGCCAGTTTTCTGGTCCTGGCGTTTTTTTCTCAATTGAATTTCGGCGGTGGACCTTCCTTTAGCCTCCCCTTAGCGAAAACGGCCGAGGACTGAAACCGACGGACCTGGACCCGCAAAAATGGCAACCGCGACGCCCTCTCGCGAACCGAAAACGGCCAATTCCTTAATCGACGCGTCAGGGCGGGAGGTCTGTCAACCTCCGAGACTTGACCCCCGCCCCTTGAGCTCCGAGAGGAGCACCGGGCGGCGCCTCCAGCGCCAGCGGCGCTCGCACACGCGCCCATGGCCAAGGGTGGGGGAACGCCGCGGGGCTGGTGCCGCGGCTGGAAGGCCGGGGGGACGCCGGCCGCACCTGTAGCGCCGATCCTGGGCCTGGGCCCGGCCTGGGCGCGAGGCGGCGCGCGCGGAGTCTCCATGCTCAGCCAGATGCAGAGTAGGAGGGGGAGGGGGATGGGGGAGGGGAGAGGGTAGGAGAGGAGGAGGAGAGGAGGAGGAGGAGGAGGAGGAGGAGGGAGGAGGAGGAGGAGGAGGAGGAGGAGGAGGAAGGAGGAGGAGGAGGAGGAGGAGGGGGAGGGGGGGGGGGAGGGAGGAGGAGGAGGAGGAGGAGGAGGAGGAGGAGGAGGAGAGGAGGAGGAGGAGGAGAGGAGGAGGAGGAGGAGGAGGAGAGGAGGAGAGGAGGAGGAGGAGGAGGAGGAGGAGGAGGAGGAGGAGGAGGAGGAGGAGGGAGGAGGAGGAGGAGAAGAAGGAGGAAGAGGAGGGGGAGGAGGAGGAGGAGGGGGGGGGAGGAGGAGGAGGAGGAGGAGGAGGAGGAGGAGGAGGAGGAGGAGGAGGAGGAGGGGATCGGCACGACTCGCAGAGTAGCCACTCGCACATGGTCTGGATCCATGGCGTCGGGGCAAACAGGCTCCAGGGCCACTCGCACATGGTCTGGATCCATGGCGTCGGGGCAAACAGGCTCCAGGGCATCCAGGCACGGGGAACGAATGCGATATACGTGAACCTGCGGAAGTCTCCGCGCGGTTCTCACGGATCGTCACTGGAGCCTCCTCGCGGCGCAGCCAGCGCCGAATCGAATCGACTCCGGATGTCTGGGATCGAATCGAATCGGCATCGCGGCCGCCCAAGCCGGCGAATCGAATCGCATCGAATCAGGTCGTTGGCGGCCTTGGGCCAGGCCGTGTGGAATCGGATTTTGGAAAAGCCCATGGACTCTGGAAGCGGCGAAGGGGTCTGCGCGGCGAAGTGGGGGGGGACGAGGGAAATCTGCTCAAATCTCTGACCGGATCCTTCCCAAAT